TTATTTGATATCAACATCATGAAGTACATTCAAAATACGTTACACCAAGGTTTCATGGTGTAATCATGTAATCCTTAAAAAAGTAACTGTAATCTGATTATGAGTATTTTAAAATGTAATATAATCCAGTTATAAGTACTCTGGGTAATCTGATTATGTAATCCAGATTACAGGTATTCCGTTACTATCCAGAACTGTATAAATAAATATAATGTAATATATATACATACACACACACACTATATTTATATATATTTACATTATATTTAATTATACAGTGCTGGATTGTAACTACTATAATATAATATGATTACTTAATAATTATATATATATATATATATATATATATATATATATGTGTGTGTGTGTGTGTGTGTTTTTCTAATGTACAAACACCATTTATTTGAAATTATTTGTAAAATTATAAATGTCTTAACTGTCACTTTTGATCAATTTAATGCAATGGCGTTTCACAGCAGTTTTATGGGATTATGCCTGCTAATTTACAATGAATTGCCTAATGCCACAAGTAACGTTTTCCACACAGCTATTTTCTTCTCTGCTGTCCCTTCTCACTTCAACTTCTATCTGTCTGTCTGCCCAAAAGAAATTCTCCTCACCTGCTAGAAGCCAAAAGTAAAGGAGGGATGAATGTCAATGTTAATAGCACCATACAGAGGTCAAGAGTCCGTTAAATAAAAATAAATGAATAAATAAATACATACATACAAAAACAAATGCCCCTGCTTGGTTATATATATTTATTGTACTTTTTAAATCTAAATTGATATGTAATTTGTTATATAAAATATAAAATGATAAATAATACATTTAAATGTATTTTATATCATATTTTAATTACTACTGTATATATATATATATATGCAATAATTATTTTACGTAATATATGCTATAAAATCTGTATAAATTATATCAAATAAACAAGTAAATAAATACAAACTGCACAGGAGAAGACTGTAAATCACTGTGCACTGTTTATCATATGTGTGTGTGTGTGTGTGTGTGTGTGTTTGTGAGAGAGTGAGAGAGAGAATAAATATTCATGCATTTTTGTTCATTCAAAATGCAAAATGTGCATATTTGCTAATACAGTTTTTACATAATGGACACAATGCATCCTTTTCATTCATCCTGTTGGCTTAAATTATTGTCTATCTAACAATAATGAGCTATTGGATTACTATAAACTGACAGTTTTTTTTCTACATTACTACACTCTTTATCATTAAAGCTGTATATACTCTACTGTACAGCAAACCAGACAATATGAATAGACAAAACATCATCTGCGTATGAACTATTTGAGTCCTCTGCTTTGAATAGATCCAGACACTTTTCCATCCATTTCAGTTGGGACGATATGTGTTAATCTTTTAAAGTTGCCTATTACTGTGAATCCTGATGGGTAATTATAGACTAAAGGATACGGTCATTCTAATAATAGTTGAGACAGTTGTTTGGTCCTCCCCAGGGTCAAACCTGTAAATATAGCACAACAAATCCTCCTTCAAAAAAAGCAATCAGGGTATTGCATTACACCCCGTCTACACTAGTGACGTGACGTGACAAACTCCCGTGAAGCTTCTGACGTTGTGCACGTGCAGTGTAGACGATGGCTTTAGTTTATCATGTTTGCACTTGCAGTTTAGATGAGGTGTTACATCCTTGATGCAAATACTTATTCATCAGACACTAGTACTGTACTTGCTACTAGTCACTATTACAATACTGATAAGTAACTATTCCATTACTTCTAGTAACACATTTTTGTAATTGAATTCTAAGTGTGGATTGTAGTACTATGCATAGATATATATACACAGATGCCTCATTAGTTGCTGTTTCTATTGGCTGCTATATGCAAGCCATCTGCCATATTGGAGCCAGTGTTGCCAAGTCTGTAGTTTTCCCGCGGAATTGGGCTACTTTCATACTGTTGCCACCAAGCGGGAACCTCTCTCTTGAAACCAACACGGAAGTGACTTAAACTGCAATTCATCAACTGGCCACTAGAGACTGGCTCCAAATGGGAGTCAATCCCATAGACCCCCCATGTTAAAATGCCCACATTTACAGCAGAAAAAAATATGTTTACAGCCTGGTACAAAAAGTGGTTTTGGTCTATATAGCTAATTTTGCCCTTCATGACAACTGTAAGAGGGGTGAATTTTTTTTAATATTATAACTCATCCGTTTAGATTATATTAAAGGCAGAGTAAGTGATTTTTCAAAAACACTTTAGAAAACTGATTCGGGCCGAATCGCAAAACAAACTTGTAGCCAATCAGCAATAACGGGCGTGTCTACTCGTGATGTGGAGGAGAGAGCTTTCAGTGCATGGGACGGACATTAGCCGAGCCGAGCGACAGAAAGATAGAGATGGCGGATAAAAAAACAAAAGAGGAAAACGTCTGCGGAAAGATAAGGCAAGAAGTAGGACCCGTGAAAATATCGGATCAGCTTTCCAGCGCTGGAGAGAACTCAAGGAGCGGAGGCCTGCAATCGGACGCCGAGGTTGCTTTGTTTCTTCTCAATAGGTGAGTAACACCGTGTCTACAACAGCTAAAGTCTGACTACACTGGACGCGATCAAACGACCGTTGAAAACCATTTGAAATTTGTGTCAGCACGTCATAAATAGAACCCGGCAGCAGTTTTCTGTCGGGATTTGTTGCGCCGCGCCGCTCACGTCCGTAGACACGGTGTAAAAATCCACTTGAGTGACAGGTGGATTGCCGCTGCTGTCACCACCGTCGAGCTAGGCGGGTGTGGTTTTAGCAACCAGCTCCACCCATGTCCCACCTCTTTGCCCATTTTTGATTATCCGAGAGTGCCGCGCGGTGACGCGCTGCCAAGATGGCGATGGCCGTCTCCACCCACTTTAGGCTTCAAAAATGCTCTTTAGAAACCTACGGGTGACATCACGGACACTACGTCCATGTTTTTTTTTTTACAGTCTATGGTTGCTACGGGTTGTTTTTTTACTCTGCGGGTTGAAGCGAACCACCCTGCCCCCCGGGAATGAGATTTCGACTGAGGAGGACCAGCCAAAATGTAATTTTGGAGCAATTTTGATAGCCAAAACCCCCTAAAAGTCTGTAATATTAAGTTTATACATATAAAAACACAAACCAACACATTCTCACCTGTTAAAGGTTAATCCATTTCTTACAACCAGAGCATCTTGGAAAACTCATTAGGTGCATCCCAAATTGCGTACTTATGCACTATTCTATGCTGTTTTGTTGGATAAACAGTGCGAGTAGTGCGTTCACACTGAAAATTCCAAAAAAGAAAAAGTGCACTTTAAATACCCAGATGATACACTTAAATAACCAAAAAAATGAAGTGTGGAATATTGGGCACGTCATGCACTCAACTGTTGCAGCTGTAATTACGTAGCGTAGGGGGAGGGGCTATCAGACTCCGATTATGAATGACAAAATAACCTTAAGTAATTCATACACTACATGGTTGAGTACATACTGCATAAATACATGTATTATAAGTGCATAGTGTATATTGCGTCATTTGGGACGCAGCTATTGATTTTTACTGTGAGTGACGATAGATTGACAGTTCCAAGATGGCGGATGCGTCAATGTGTCTGGAGCGGTCGAATGTGGCATCTGCCTATACATTTCTATGGTACTATGTATGTATTCCAGTTATAGACCTTAATTGGGTTAGATGCCATATTGAATTTAACATGGATGGAAATGAGGCTGTGAAGGAAACTGTCCTTACAATGGTACACAAAGGTCTCACAACTTTCAAAACTGTTTTATGGTCTACTTGTCTACTGAAAGACATTTAATCAGCTGAACAATCAGTATGTCGTTAAACAACAGTACAGTCAATTTAATGCACTCTATTTAACCTCACAGCCTCGATTTTATTCCTGTCAAAAATTAACATGGTGCTACCCTGACTAAGGTCTGTTCTAGTTTTACTAGTTACCATTTATTATGTACTAGTTTACATCCCTGCTGAAAAAGCAGTTAAAACCAGCCTAAACTGGTTGGCTGGTCTTAGCTGGTTTAAGCCTGAAGTAGCTGGTTTTAGCTGGCCAGCTAAAGAAGTGGTCAAAACCCCTCTAAAACCAGCCTGCTGCCCAGCTATGACCAAGCTGGATGACCTAAAACTAACTAACCAGCTAAGGCTGGTTTTAGCTGTTATTTTTAGTTATGCTTACAGTATCTGTCAGTAACATTTCTTATCTCGATTTACATTTGTTTTACATATACATATTATACTCACTGTCAGATTAATTAGTCTAGTAGTAGCCTAGTTAAAAACAAAGCAGTAGGCCTACCGATAACATAAAATAGATACTAGTTTTAAGAAATAAATGATTAATCGGCTTGCCAGACATAACTGAGGTGGACGCCTTTGCTCTCCTGTCCCTGTTGGAAAATTGGGAGAAATGCAGGACTCTGCAAGTGTCTCCTACCACACGTTGTTAATAACAATGACTGTGAAACGGGGCCATACGTTGCACAGCTGTGGTCTGTGGTTGCAGATGTCACTGGATTGATCGAATGCCACACAGAACGGTCTTACTGAACAAAAACAGCCATCGGCTGTTTAATAAAGGCGAAACGAGCTTTTGATCTGTTGTCTTTAATTTTTTTCTTGTATACTGATAGCTTTAATGGTTATATATGCGCATGAGGCCTTACACGAGTCTCCAAATATAGTAACCACCACGAAGAAAGTGTTTTATACCTTATATCTGGGGATATATTAGCTGTGAGGTTACTGAATGGCTCGGTTTGAAATGTGAATTTGGAGACATCTGTTGGGGAAGGGTGGGAATGCAGAGCTCATTTCAGGAAGGGTTCAATTATATCGCTGGTTTTAATGATCAAAGCTCAATGAAGACTTAATAGAAGAGAAGAAGTACGAATTTATAAAATGTAATTTTAAACGGTCACGAGGTTGATTGAGTCCCGGAATAAACAGAGCGTCGTGTGACGGTTTCCGCGAGTCAGGTGACCTGAAGCAAAACCAATTGGATTTGAGCTCCCAGGAAGACAAACTGACCCACGCGGCGAGGGCTTGAAGTTTGCATGCGTATACATGAATACCGAGGTAAGTCTGCTTTTGATATCGTTTATTCAATTATATTCTCTGATCATCCACCTGCAAGGCGAAAATACACAACGAATCACATGTGACGTAATCATTCATTGCATTCAGTGAACTTGAATGTTTTGGTAACGGTTTCAGTTGCAAACTGACCATATTATTCTAATAAATGTCTGCACGTTAAGCAGGTGTCGGTCCTGTACTTTGCAAAAAGTGCCGAATTAACGGGACTCAGAGCAGAGAGCATCACTGTTCCGTCAAACATATCATCTCTACAGCTGTGGCAGGATCTGGAGAGCAGACATCCCAGGTCAGTGATTATTTTAATAAACGTGACATTAATACTTTTGTAGGACGTTCAGATCAATGATATTTACACTGCAAGTCATCAACGCGGTAAAACTAGATTTATACTGCCACTCAGTCCACCAGTGTATTAATTTTTTTACATATAAGAAATGTCACATATTTTGACATACTAATTGTAGTAGTATAAATAATTTTTATTAATACATATTTTTGTTCTAATTTATATTATGTAATATATTTTTATGAAAATGTTCATGTTTTATATAATTTAATGTTTTATCAAGTTCATTGGAAAGATAATGTTTATGGCATATTTTATAAACTGTAACTTATTCATGTCGTTTAAAGATATTTGTTTCATGTAATAACTAGGGCTGCACGATAAATCGCATGCGATATTTAACGCGCATCTTATCAGTAAAACCGGTTAAAGCATATAAATAATGCTAAGAATAACAAATGATCTACAAATTACAACCTTTAACAACGTTATTTTCCAATATACTAGAACAGAGGTGGCCAAAAAATTTTAATACAAAGGATGAAAAATCAAGCTCAATTGAGGGCCATGGGCCAAAGGTATATTATATTAAAATGTAATAAATAAATAAACTGATATATAATAATTTTTTTTTTTTTATATTTACAATTATTTTTTAATCAGATTCATGTATATTGATAAAAAAAAAATAGAAATTAAGATATGCTTTAGTGTTTTTTTCTCTTTCCTCTTGTGGTATGGCATGGTCCATAAGTGCCCAAACCAGGGCCCACAGGCGAAATCAAAGGTCTTTGGCCCCTGGGCCCTGGTTTGGGCATTGCTGGACTAGAGCAATTCTTAATTTTTATTTTAATTTCTATTCGTTACATATAGTCATGTTTCATTCAGAAGATGTGTGTCCTGTTTGGCAGACTCTCTGTATTACGGGATCAGGTGGTTCTGGCCGTGCGTCAGGAGTACGTGCCTCTGGGAGAGCAGCCTTTGACCCTCAGAGACGGGGACGAGGTGGCAGTTATACCGCCCCTTAGTGGAGGCTAAAGAAATGACCAAGGTGGCCATCAAATCTGTTACCTGTCTGTCTGTCTTTTTTACTGTATTTTATTTTATATGTATATTATAATAATACATTATAAATATATAACAACAAGTATATTTTATATTTATTATATATAAAAAAAATTGAAATACTATGTTTTGTTTCTGTTCAGGTATGGCTGCAGATGGGGGTCAGGATCTAATAACACTCACTACTGACAAGCTTTCTGCTGATCGTGTTTCTGAATCTGTTACGTGTCCCTCCTGTGGTGCTGTATCTCTGTTTATTGGTCAGTCTTTGTTACGCTATATTTCCTTGCATCATTGCTTCTGTTTAGAGTTGGCTTTCTTAGTTTCATATTAGTTTTATATGTAATCTCCTTTTTTAGGGACTACCAGAGATAATTTTGAGGGGAAGAAAGTGATCCGGCTTGAATATGAGGCATACAGTCCAATGGCAGAGTCAGAGCTCAGGAAGATCTGCCGTGAGATCCGGACAAAGTGGCCCAGCGTCAGACATATTAACATACAGCATAGACTTGGGTGAGTCTCACAGTTTGTTCAGATAATGAGAGTTAAGTACTTGAAAGCCATAAAGTATATTTTCTGTTCTTTCCCACCGTGTCCACAGTGTGGTTCCTATAACAGAAGCAAGTGTTATAATTGGGATCTCATCACCACACAGAAGGGATTCCCTGGAGGCGGTGAAGTACTGCATCGACACACTCAAAGCTACTGTGCCAATCTGGAAGAAGGTGTGATTTCTGTATAACCCTAGAGAACATTTCATGAATACAGAAAAAAAGACCATTGAAAGCAGGTGCTTAAAAATGTCAACCTCAGGTCGTCAAATTAGATGTTTTATTTTCTTAGTCTTTATTTCTTTCTTACATTTTGTCCATAATGTGCCACATTTTAAAACCGATTTGTATGATTCTATTACTTTCTAGTAAGAAGCATCCAATAGACTTGGATAATACAACTAAAGATTAAATGTTGATAAAACAGCAAGACAAATGTTTTTTGGTAATTTTAGTTAAACTTACATTTGCAATAAATTATGGACGATATTTAATTCATCACCTTTCTTCAACTTGGTAACAGGGTTGAACGGTAAAGTTGATAAATGCAATCAACACTACAATTTTTGTAAAAAATGATAAAATGGATGAGTTTTGTTTGTCTTCCCATCATGTGTGATACTAGAACACGAAATGTTACTCTTACTCAATTTACAGGTAAAAATACAGGTAAGCATTTTAATCATTAGAATTAGTGAAATAACTATTATTAATACAACGATTTGAAAATAAATTCTGCATGTTGTCAGAATCATGACTTTGATATCGTGACTTGTGGTCATAATAACTGGATATTTGAAAAGGTCAAAATCTTTGAGGTGGGACAGACTCAAAAAAATGTGTCACCAGAAAAAGAATAGCCTACATTTTGTGTGTGTGATATAACTACTGCAATCTTGTAACTATTTTTATTGCTGAGTTGATTCCATTGGGAATTGGAGTCGACTCTGAAAAACCTGGAACCGAACGCACCTAGTACAACTCATGCACATGCGCTTTGAATTTTTTTGAACTAACTGGCCTGGGCCGCTGTTTCACAGTAGGGAAAGGAACAGAGGAGACAGAACAACAAACTAATGAAGACGGCAACAACAACAACAGACGCCCGCATTGACAAGAGCTTGTGTGGGGAGTTTAGAGAGAGCCTCAACTTTAGTTTAAGCGATTACAAAGACATTTTATCACTCAGAACTTTAGAGGAGAAATAGCACAGACACTGGGCAAGGATGACTCTTTCTGGTGCGCATGTGTCGAGTGCCTGTGTTCGCACACGCTATCAAATAGAGGATACTTTGAAAAGCTACATGTAAAGAAAAGTACACTTTGGTCCTGAGTCACAATAGTTAAAAAGCTCTAGTTGAATACTAACTACCTGAATGAATGGATGTGGTAATAAGACTGCATGTGCCAAAAAGATACACCAGCATTCAAGTCAAGCAGGGAAATAAAACATACGAGAGATGAATGGGCTTCGAATGCCAATGTTTCACTTGTCGCACTGAAATCAAATTGGCAATTTTTGAGAACCCAGTTTGCTCTTTCTAGCCTTTTTCTGGTTATTTGTGTCCGAGAAGGAAGCAATGACATTGCCAAATGAGTCTCAACAGATTTCTTAGGGTGTCTTGCTGTTTTCCTGCAGTTCCTGATCTTCTGCTCCATTCTCAGCCGCCGCGTTCATCATCGGTTGATACTTCCTCTTGAAGAATCCAAGCTGAACATAAACAATACATAGATTTTTAAAGGAAGACAATAACAAGATATAGACTGAATAAACATTAAAACAGCAAAATAAAGTACCTTCCAAAGCAATGCGACGGCAAGAGCCAATAACAACAGACCGCCGATTACACTCCCTATAATGACGCCCACTGGAACGTCCGCTTTAGCTCCAGACTTGCTCACTTGGACTTCAACCTGCAATGAAGTGTCCGCTCGTAAATTTAGCCTACATACGTAATGACCGCTGATCCCATACAGCAAAAAAAAATTTTTTCTAGCCAAAACATTTTAAATGTACGCGAAATATATGCTGTAAACAGTGAAGCTCAATGAAATATATTTTTGAAATTGAAAATATATGTAATTTTAATGTTCATATACCAAAATATATTTCAAAATGTATTTCAGTGCAAGAAAATACATTTCCACTCTTATCGTATAGCTTGCATTTAGGCTAAATGCAAATGTAGATAGAATAGCCTACTAGAGATCAAAACTAGATTTATAATGATTTAATTATATTTAATTTATTATATTCACCTTATTTTTCCCGTAAGAGCGAGCACGGCCATTTGTAAATTTAATGTGTCTGGCTTCCGGTGTCATCTGCTAACAGCTATTCTTAGCTGTACAAAACAGCTTACTTCCACATTGAAAAATAAGGTGGATTTAATTTTTATTTTGTAATTTTAATTATTTTTATTTGGAATATTGTAATATGTTCCTTGCGGATTTTTATTCAAATATGTTTTGTTCACGTGTTACAGACAAAAATAAAGTTTTTCTTCAAATGTGACATGAATGCAATTTCTTGGATTGAAATACATGGAAAGGAAAAAATATTTTGAAATATTATATATATAGTTTTAAAATATATTTAAAAAAATACATTGGCATAAAATATATTTATGTAAATACATTTGGAAACATTTTTTAAAAATTTGGCCAACAAAAATAAAGTTTTTCTTCAAATATGACGAATGCATTTTCTTGGATTGAAATATATGGAAAGGAAAACATATTTTGAAATATTGTGTGTGTGTGTGTGTGCGTTTTAAAATATATATTTTTAAAATACATTGGCATAAAACATTTATGTAAATACATTTTGAAACATTTTTTAAAAATTTGGCCAACAAAAATAAAGTTTTTCTTCAAATATGACATGAATGCATTTTCTTGGATTGAAATATATGGAAAGGAAAAAATATTTTGAAATATTGTGTGTGTGTGTGTGTCTTAAAATATATATATTTAAAAATACATTGGCATACAATATATTTATGTAAGTACATTTTTAAAAAAGTTGGCCATTTTTTAATATTTTAAAATATATCTAAAAATATATATGTACTATGTGTGTGTATGTATGTATATATATATATATATTTATTTTATTTTATTTATTTATTTTTGTATAGGATATGTCAAATATTTGAGGCAAAAAAAAAAAAAAAACACTTTCAAATGATCCTGCTGTGTTTTGACTGTACCTGCAGGTGTTTCTGTTTGATGAACATCAGCTCCGGTTGAGACGTCTCTATATCAGCTCTCACAGAGAGCACAGTGTACAGAAAATCAGCCTTGAATGAACAAACAAACACTGTTAACCCCAACATTAGCCCAGACTGATACAAGAAAAGCACTGAGATGAGTTTATTTACCATTGTAAAGGTACCTTTCCATATGTTTGTCGTTACATTGACATAATAATCATTCTTCTCCACCAGGTCCTTCAGGACGCATTGAATTGAGCGGCATGTGGCCGTTTTGCAGTTCTGTGGATGGTGAACAGATGATCAGTACGGATGGACATGAAGACATCCTGTTATTTGTAATCAGAGAGGGGATCAATCATCATGCAAATCAACAACTTCATCTAGATCTAATTAAAAACATTATTACACAAATAATTATTACTGGGTTTCATACTTCATTCATTAGGACTTCCTTTGTGTGTCACGATCAATAACAAAAGCAAATGTTTTTCACATTCTTGGATTTCAGGAATTTTTAAGATGAAATTCAACAAGAACTGACCAGTTCATCTGTTCCTCTGAAACTCTCCTCTGTGAATCGGACTGGATAAGGTTTTTCAATGATCTTAAACGGGTCGATCAGATGACTGCCTGCACAATGGATTTTTTCAGCCTGTTTGCGGGAAATATCATGTCAAATAATTTCCACATGCACAGACATGCGTTCGCTCATGATTAAGATGGATTGTGTGTAAAAATGTGAGGTTTGTTGATTATGGATCCTCACAGGTGAGGTTTTAATGCTGGTTATGTAGAGGAGAGGATTCCCTGCTCTAGTGCTGTTGGGCAGCGAGACAGTGAGGTAAACCAGGCTGACTGGGACCGTTCCTGGAGAAACCTGGAGAAATAAATACACTCACATCAGCACTACCCTCAACTTCATTTTCAAAGCAAACCAACAGATGGTGGTAGTGAACAGCCTGAAGGATTCATCCGTTTCACTACCGCATGAACTCACCTTTAAATTAAAGTTAAAATCTGGGCCGATGTCCTTGTAATTCCTCACTGTGGTTGTGAAACTGCTATCTTTTTCAAGTAAATAAGCATCTATGTTTGATTCTCTGAAGAAATTAAAATATAATAAAGACATTAAGAGAGGACTTTTAGTCAAACATTACGATGGGTTAAGTAGGATATCAAGTAGAGACAGTGTTGGGGAAAGTTACTAAAGTTATGCATTACAATATTGCATTACTCCATAAAAAAGCTTAAAACTATAAGTAAGTATGGTTTTATTTAGCTTATAACAAAAAAACACAACTAACTGTGTTACTTAGTTACTTTTTTATGGCAAGTAATGTATTACATTAATTTTGCGTTACTTTCTGTCACCTGAGCTGGGCTTGCCCCCCCCCCCCATTTTTGGCAACTGTAAAGGCCCTTTAACAAAAATTGAAATGAATAAGCCTCAGGCTGAA